AAGAAGGTGACAATAGAAAACAACCCCCCCCCTCCCCTGATTGAATTGGCTCTAATGGGACACTCCTCTTTGTATCCCTCTGAGCAGGGACAGAGATGCAGCCCTGTCAGCCTGGTCTGGATGAAACAAAAGACCGGAGGATGCAGCGCTTGAAAGACTAACAAGATGGTTTAAGAGGTGATGAGCTTTTGTGGGCCAGACCCACTTCCTCAGATCAAGCGGCGAGGAGTCCTGTGGCACCTTATGGACTAACTGAAGTGTAGGAGCATAAGCTTTCGTGGGCAAAGACCCACTACATGCATCTGACGAAGTGGGTCTTTGCCCATGAAAGCTTCTGCTCTGACACTTCAGTTAGTCTATAAGGTGCCACAGGACTCCTCGCTGCTTTTGCAGATTCAGACTAACACGGCGACCCCTCTGATACTTGACGTTCCTCAGATCAAGTTGTGGAAGAAAATTGGCGTGTCCATATATACCAAAGGATACAATCAAAAAAACGAACACATATAAAAAGGACAAACCAAATTTCAGAACAGAAGGGGGATGAGAGGGGGAGGTACATTGTCTTCCACAATTTGATCTGAGGAAGTGGGTCTGGCCCATGAAAGCTCATCACCTCATAAACCAACTTGTTAGTCTTTCAAGTGCTACATAGTCCTGTTTTTTGTTTCTGTATCCTTTCTGTTCGCTTTTCCTTTCCCCTTTGACAAGCGAGTTGCAACTTATGCCATAATGACATTGTTTGTCTTTAAGGTGCCACCAGACAGACGCCTCCTTGTTTGTAATATAGACACTCAGGTTTTAAAGCCAGAAATGACTGTTTTAATGATCTAGTCCAGTGTTTCTCAACCTTTTTATAAAGTTCCCCTTTTTCTAAAAAACAAAAAAAATATAAGTACCCCCTTTTTCAAAAACAAATTCTAAGTATCCCCAGTACCTACAATTTTCAGACACACAGCCTTTTTTTTTCTTCTATCATTGCAACACATGGCTACGTCTAGACTGGCATGATTTTCCGGAAATGCTTTTAACGGAAAAGTTTTCTGTTAAAAGCATTTTCGGAACAGAGCGTCTAGATTGGCACGGACGCTTTTCCACAAAAGCACTTAGGGTAGTTGTGGGTACTCATGCCACTGGTTGAGAAACACTGATCTAGTCTGATCTCCTGCAAAAGGCAGGTCTGAGGGTTTTTTTTTTTTTTTTTTTTGCACATTAAATCTTGAATTAACACTGTCAAACTCTTACAATTGCATTGCCAGGCTCATGATATTATGTGGGGGTTTTGTTGTTGTTTTGTTTTTGGTGTGGAGGCCCAATTGCTGAAGTCGATTAAAGAAGAATACCACAAAGCTCTTACAGCATGTTTTAATAGCAGATTTCAAAGCACTTCACAACACTTGAATATATTGGCCTCAAATCTCTGAAGTGGAGGAGTAGTTGTTTCACTTTTGTAGGTGGAGTGCTGTAGCATATAGAGAGTGCATGAATTAACCAAGGTTATATAGGAAGTCCAGTATCTTGAACTCCAGTTTTTTAGGTTGTTTTTTAGGTTCAGTAGTTGTGCACTGGCCTATCAACTAGGCATATAAAATCCCAATTAATCAGTTAAATGTTATGTTTCAGTACTATATTTAACCAATTAAACAGGGGTAGGTGGGGCCCTGCAGTAGCTCCCTGTTTGCAACTGGCTGTTCCAGCTTACTAGTAAAGGGTAATCCGTAAGCCTCACTCAAGGGTGATGCTTACCAGTTAACCATTTATGTTCCTACTACAGGTTGGACCTCTCTGGTCTAGCACTCTCCGGGCCTGACTGGTCCCAAATGAGGAAATTTGCAGGACTGGGGGAAGGTCTCCCTGCTGCTACCTTCCCAGCCTACTGCCAGCCAGGCTGCTGAGACCTAGCACTGCTGAGACCCAGCCGGGCTCCCTGGGTGGCTGCAGCTCAGGCTTCCGTGGTGAGGGTCTGGCCCTGGTCCCCGCCTCGGCCCTTCTGCCCCCAGCTCTTCTGGGTTCCCAGCTGGGACTCCCTGGTCCAGGACCACATATGTTGATGGACCAGAGAATCTTGGTTTTGGGAGGTCCAATCTGTATCAACTACCACACTTTAAAAAGTTCAGTCATAATTGTGAAAGGAAGCTTGAAGTGTCACCTGATGATGATCTCAAGGCTCAAACCCAGAAACACAGACCAAAACTTATTATTGTTAGATGTCATGACTTTTAAGCCACTGTCCCTAATTTTTATGCTTTTGGCTGGCGATATTGATTGATCATATTCTTTGGTCTCTATCCCTTTCTAATTTGAGATACTCATACCCTTCTATTGCAGTACAGTTTTTGTTCTTAGAGTAGCATAGATGGCTTGCATAATGACAACTGCTTCTCATTATTACTTTTTGTATTATGGTATTGCCTGGAGGGCATAATAAAAAGATACTCTGTGTCCCAAATAGTTTTGCTTTAATACAGGTGCATGTAACATTTTTCTGCAGAACTGGCATGTGTTTGGTGTTCGTTATGTGCTTGTTTGAGTTGCTTGATTCATTTTTTTCCATTTCTTTGTAAGCGTTAAAATCTTCTGAACTTGCTCCATTTTTATTTAACTTTTTTTTTGTTTCTTGATTTGCAGGCAGGTCCAGTAATTAAAGTTAAAATACCTAAGGATAGAGATGGTAAACCAAAGCAATTTGCATTTGTGAATTTCAAACACGAAGAATCTGTCCCTTATGGAATGAATCTGCTAAATGGGATCAAACTTTTTGGAAGGCCTATCAAAATTCAGTTCCGATCAGGTATCCATAAAATAAACATTTAAACAAAGCGGCGTTATCGTCCCCCTTCACAAAATACTTCCTTTTTTTTAGATAAAAAGGAAGTTCATTGTAGGCTATCAAATTGTCATTCACTTTTCTAATGGTTGGTGGATTTGTGAAATTAAGATGTCAGAACAGATGTGTACATTAACCTTTTCTTATTATACATCCCCTTCGTCAGAAGACTTGTCAGGTCTGCCTTGAACATAAGATGCTTTTTTTTATTGGTGTTAATTTTGATTTCAGGTTTTGGTTTTTTACACTGCAAATATGAAGTGAATGGTGACTGTGCTAATCCTAATCAATTATATCTGCATTTTCTCAAGGCTGTTCAAATCCACAGAATTGGGGAGGGACGGGGGGACAAAAGGGCCTCAAATTTGGCTTAGTACAGTACATACCCAAGGTTCTCTTAATAGCTCTGAAACAGCAGAAATGGCTCAGACTCAACTGATGGAATTCGTTTTTCACAAAAATACTACTCGCACCTCAGTTTTGATAGTTGACCAATAAGTGGTGTCTTGCATTATTGTATTGAGAGAGTAGCAAGGTTTGTCACAGAGGAAGGTAAGGAAGAGTATAAAGAGTGAAATTATTGAAGATAAGACATTATTTTAGAAATTAATAGGATAGCAGATGGCCTCAAGTAGGGATAAATTGCTGATTTTGAACAAATTCAAGACAGTTGGTATTTGCATGCTCAGAGGAAATTGTGTAGCTTATTTCAGGTCTATTTTGAAATGAGTGCTATTCCAAAACGTCCCTTAATCCTTAAGGAATGAGGTTTACAGGGATGCTGGAATAGCATCCCTATTATTTTGAAAGATGATTTTGAAATAACGGGCGCGCTATCAAGACACAGTATATGCTATTTTGGGGATACCGGAAGTATCCCGAAATAGCGCCACAGTCTAAATGTACCCTAATAGTCTGAGTATACGTCTGGGTTTGCAAGTGGGAGTGACTACGATGTCTGAGAAGGATGAATAGCTATTGGAATTCTTGGTTAAGAGCACTCAAAAAGCAGCAGTAATATTTTTTAGCCCAGTGGTGCCCGACTTATACAGGAAGGCCACATAAAACTAAGCACAACTGTGTGTGGGCCATACAATTTCTATTTCATTCTAATAAGATTTAAAGTAATCTATATTGATTTAAATTTTAAGTTCATCTCCTCTTGTATGTATTTAGATAGACAATACTATCCATGGAAAACATAACACAGTTGTGCAAACTAAAATGATGTAAACATGACAAAACACTTCTCATTTTTCAACACAATTATACTGTGATCCTTATGAAATGCTCTGGTTGGCTATGTATACTCCATGGGCCATAGAATTCCTTAACTTGGGTTTCATGTGAAAGGTTTATATGTTTGCTGACCCCACTTATGAAGTTATACATTATTGTAGTTCGAGATGTTTATTACATATGTGAGAAAATGGAGATCAGTGAATGCATAGTTTAGTCATTTGGAGCCTTATACAGTGCAAGAAACTAGATAATGTACCCCGGGAAGACGTATGATCCAGGGGTACATCAGCTCAGCTAGACATTTACTTAGTTTCACAGCAGGTTACGTAAAAAAGTACTAGTGAAGTCGGTACAAACTAAAATTTCACGGACAGTAATTTGTTTATACTACTCTGTATATTATACACTGAAAGTACACGTACCCTTGATTGAGAACTACTCCTCTAAACTCATAGCTTTAGTTTTTGTTTTTACAAATTACTGTTACTGGCATGTTCGTAACATTTACATGTGATTGCAGTCAAACTAGGTTTTCTAGTCAGGATGTTGCAAGTCTATTGCATCTTTCCCATTGGGTATTAAAACCAGGTGTTGCAACTGTTTTGTAAACCTGATTGTGTGCACTGATGAATCTCCAAAGCTAATTAAGCAATGAAAACATATTTCCATCTTCTAACAGGTGTTCACTTTATCTCGACTCCCAATCTGTACTTCAGGTTGTCTTATAAAATATTTGTGTTAATTCAGGAAGTAGTCATGCAGCTCAAGATGGCAATTCATCTTATTCCCAGCATGGTTCTGCTAATGCAAGTCCTTCCAGCACACCACAATCGACCCCAAATTCTAACAGGTAACGGCTTCTATTCCACCTACCAGCAAGTTCTTATCAAATACAATTTTTAGTAGGCGTTTAATATATGGCGACTTTGCTGAAGCTGCAGTAATGCTTCTAGGCAGAGTAACAGTTGTACCTTAGTTTCACTCTTTCTATTTACATACACTATTTGTAGGTGGAGCACAATTGTATCTCTTGGGGCAACAAAAGTAAAATTAGGAATCTATTGGAGGCAGGGGTATATTTTGTTGGGGTTAGAGACATTTTTTAAGAAAACAGGCCCAACGTTTAGTGCATCAATACAGTCGTCTTATTGGATGGTTTCTTTTTAACATATAAGTTATGACTAGTATTATGTCAGCTACAGACATAATATTCAACTTGAATGTAAATGGATTTAATTCTTGTTTCGATCGTGTACAAATTTCAAAAGGCCTTGAGTAATTGACCATTTAGTATTGTTCATCCAGATGTTTAGAGAATCTTATTGATAAGTCTACCAAAAAAACCACAACCCCAGTAGTTGTAACTTTGTGCATTAAATAATTCAATGATTGATAGACCTTTTTTGGTGGTGCTATCAAATAAAATTGTGAATTGCCTTTAGTTTGGGCAAGTTGTCATCATGCAAACAAGAGTAAAATTATGCAATTTAGCATAGGAAAACATGGCTACCTCTTGCGATATAAATAGTTTGGACTAGAAACTAACTGAAGATATTATTGACCAAAAACCAAACAGAATCTTTAGAGCTTCTCTCCATATGGGAATTAGTGTGTATTCTCTTAGGGTCCCAAAAACTAATGGTCTAAATAAGTATAGTCAATTAATAAACATTAAAGAATATGCCCTTACCTTGAAGGTTAGTCCCTTTGAGCATCTGAAAGCATTTTTCAGCTACTGTCACTCATGCTGCAAAGATCATCTGCCAGTTTTTGTGGTTTGTAACCACCCTGTTTTAAGATTTTTTTTTTCCATTACTGTGTGAAAGACCTGTACAGAAAAGGAAAAATAATGGGCAAAGGGCTGTCAAATGCACAAAATAAGTAAAGCTTTTTTTAAAAATAAAATCTTGGTAATGTTACAGCACTACTTGGTTGAAAAAAATTGAGACTAACGTGATTAAACTGCTGATGCTCCTTTAACTTGCACATTGATGGTTTGAAACACTAAAGACTAAAATTCCTAATCTTTCTTCAGCAGATATGATAGGAGCACAGATAACATGTTAGCAACTGGATTCACATCCTCGCAGATGATGCAGAGGTCCTTTTCATCTCCTGATAACCTTCAAAGACAAGCGGTATGCTATTAAGTCAATAGAAATAGAAAATCTAAAGCTAGTGGTTGCAAGAAGTAGGTGGATAATACACGAAAGAGCTCTCTCCTTTTAATTTTAAATACTTTTTTACTGAGGGATACCTGTTTAACAGATACTGATTCACAGGACTGTGTTAATAATGTTTTAAGTACTGTACTGTTGCAGGAGCTTTACAGTTCCAAAGTGTTTAGTGCCTTGTAAACTCTTTGAACCAAAGAGTAACTCTGGATAAAGCAATCCCTGTACTTTTCTACCACCTGTTCAATGAGCTTGCATCCAGTCCTTGTGTTAGTGAGAAGTCCTGTCAAAGCATATCAGCAGAGGAGTAAATATTGTTCCACAAAGGATGGCTTGTAGTGTCCATATGAGTAAAACCATCAGTTCTGATTTTTCATGCTGCTTGAATGTAAACTTTTGAAAACAAATGTTTGGGAAGCCAAAAGTAGCTCAGTGTGTTATGTTTCCTTTTTGTCTCTCTTCGGTCATCTTATTCTTAGCTCAGTTTAATCTAAACTAAAACTACATCTCAAAAAAAATCAAATGCTTTTGCTTTTTATTATCCTGACTTTCATTAATAAAGAATTTAGAAGAGGAGTTAAGGCATGGTTTGTTAGAGGGATGAAATAAGTTATACAGCAATGTTTTCAGTAGCGTGGCTAATATGAAGGCTGACGCACTTTGTGTATTATAGTCCCCCTTGTATTTACAGTTTGTGATGTAGAACTCCGAGCCTTCCGTAAGCATTTAACAAACTGTCCTAAATCTTGCACCATGGAGTGCTAAGCTGTTCCATCAATCATCTATTCTCAGAAGAACCAAATGCTGAGTCAGTATCCATCAAATCAGGTAGATCTTTCTTGATTATCCTTTTTTCCTCCTCCCCACCCCAGATGAATAGTGGTACCTGGCAGCAGTCGCAATACAGTGGAAAGTTTGGTTCTCAGCATTCAGATCAGTCAAGTTATTCCTCACCAGGGCAGCAGCAGCACAGTTCATTTAATCAGTCGTCAGGCTCACAAATGCAGCGGCGTCCAGATGGATCATCATCACAGCGCAAGAACAGGATGAACTCCCATCCTTACCATACGGACGGCAGACACTTTAACCGTGAGCAGCGTTTTGGAGACTATGGATCTGATCATCATTACAGAGGGAACAGAGATGATTATAGCTATGAAGACAGGAGTCATGACCCTGGATCTGATCACTACTCCAGGGGAAATAGGGATGAGTACTGCTATGAAGATAGGAGCCATGATGGCTGGAGCCATGACTATAATAGAAGAGAGAACTACAGAGATGGCAAATGGCGCCCATCCCGGCATTAGCCAGTATTAAGAGTGGGCTCTAAAGAACTTTTCTAATAAGTTTTATGAGCACTCTTCTCCGGGTCTCAAATTGATTTTTAACTGAGTGTATAGAGGAACATCTTAAGTTACCTTTTTAAAAGATATAAAGTCACGTGCATTACCTTTTTAAAAAACCTTCATTTTTATGGTATTAACCTTTCACCTCAGGGTTTTATGTAGAGAAATGTGCCACATCTTTAAAAAAAAAAAAAAAAGAGGTGAAGTTGTACAGCTTGGCTGTATTCTAAAGAACGTGTATTGATATCTTTGTAGTGGAATTAAAAATAGCATCTGCAACAGGTCTGGAGGTAGTCCCATTAAACAGTTTCCTTAGAGTATGATATATGTGGAAGTTGAAATATTGAAGAGTGTCTTTGTACCAAAATAAATGTTGCTTTTGAAGTTGTATTGAAAAATAGTATTCAGTGTAATTGCCCGGTACAATCTGTGGATAAAACAAATTCAGTGTTTTGAGTTCTTGTATTTAAGGACTTCTTAATTTGTTCACCTTTGTTCTGATATTGGGTTTTTAAATTATAATTGTTCAAAATTATGTGAAGTAATCTAAAATGATAAACAATTTCTTCTATGTAACTAAAACCACTCAGGAACTGACTGCATCCCTTGAAGTATATTGTCTGTATTTTAGAAAATCTGAATTTAGCCTGTACCTGTTGATGTAAAGAATTTTTAATTCACAGAAGAAACGGATGCTTTTTATAAAATATTTTAAAATGTATGCCCCTCATTTGTATGTAATATTACTTAAAAACAGTTGTTTAGCTGTTAAATCAGTTGTTAAATAATTATGGTCTGATTGTGCAACAGAGTACAGAAGTAATAGGAGTTGATTTTTTTTTTTTCCTTTCGGGTTAGTAACCAAGAGGCTGTTAGTCTTACAGCATTCCACGTGGACTCCATTCCACTAGTTTAAATAATTCTATTCTGGTGCTCAACTCGCATTTAATATATGTGTTCCTGTGTTTCAGTATAGCCCAAAACTTTTATAAAAGCATACTGAGTGAAGGGTTTCATAGAATTGCTGAGAGAAACTTTCCAGTGAAGCTATTTTTCTTCAGTTTGAATCTGTCTTTCTCCTCCAGAGCTAGTGATTCTCAAACTCATGGTAGAGTAGAGTAATAATTAGAAATACAGAACCAACTGGAGGGCTTACTGAAGTGTCTGACTTTCAGATGTTTGATTTTTAAATGTCTTTTACATAAGAGATATTCTAAGAGTCACGTGGACTTGCTCAAAGCCAAACTAGTAAGATTAAGGATAATAGAATAAGCAGTATTGTCAGGAAAGGAAAGAATAGGTACAAAATCTTTTCCTGAAATTTTTGAATGAAAGACCTTTTTGCTAAGGACCTTAGTCTTATATACAGTTTAGCAGTGGATGACAAGTTGCAATACTGAGATGTGGAGACTGCACTCTAGATTAATAGTTCAAATCTACTTAGCCTCTATAAATGCAGGATTTACACAGCTACAGAATTGGTATTCACATCCACATCTGCCAAAAGATCCATGACTGCAGATAAAAAGCTGTATCAGCGCTCTTGCAGGGTTTTAAATAAAAAATTTCTATCTGTATCTATAAAAATGAACAGTGGGTAGGTGTGGATTAGCCGGGCTCTATCGATAAAATCCTTTAATAGTCTTCTAGACTTTACCTGGTCTCATATTAATTGTCATACTCCTTAATCACCAACATACCTAAATGAAGCATGTTCCATAAAGTTTCCCTTCAGATCAGACAGAGCTGTGTGTTTGAGAATGTATACTATTTTGTGACTAAGGATGATTTTAATCTAACATTAGGCTCCATTTTTTACTAAATTCTATCCAACTACAATAAAATATTACAAGAAGGTATGCAAGGTGCAAATGGTATCAAGACATGTAACTTTAATGCTGTGAACCTGTTATCCTGTTTTCTGTTCATGTGTATGCCATAGCAATGAGTAAAGCCTGCAACCTCTGAAGCAAAGATGCAGCAATTGATGAATAATATGGTATTTAACATTTCATTGAATGATGATGGATTGGAAGCGTTTAAAAAAATTCTGGCAGAAACCCATTCGTTATTTGAGAAGTTATCTTCGAAAGACTCCATTCTTAATTTTAGAAAGGTCAACCCATTTTGGCTTGGATTTTAGGAGTTTTTTTTTAATTTAGGGGTGTATATTAGCTACTCCACAAAGCTGACACTACCATGGTTTATTATGTTAATATCAGAAGTCCTAGCCATTTGGAAATAGTAACTATTTGCTATCTCCTTTTCCCTACCAGGTACACAACACTTAAGTTGACTTACTATTCCACTGAATCTAATAAATGTGCAAAGAATGAAACATCAATTTAATTCATCTCTTCTTTCTGTGTAGTAGTAGTTATAGAAAGTTGAGCTGTTCACATACTGATTTAGCCTGACCAGTTTTGCTCTCTGAATAAGTTGTTGTGAATAATTTTCAGAACAGGTGCCGTGAATATAATTTGAACCTGAATGAGCTGCAGGGAAGCCAGAAAACCGCATCTTGCTTTCTAACTTGGGATATGAGAAATAGAAATTATTTTCTAAATAAAAAGTGATTGGTTTTAGCTGAGTAAAACTAGGTGTTTTCATCCTGTCACAATTTCAGAACATTTGTTTTGGCAGGAAAAACACGAAGTTTGTCAGGATGCGGATGTTTTTGTTTTTTCTTTCTTTGTTTTTTTTCTCTCTACTAATTCATCATGTTCTATAAATCACATTTTAATGGAAACTTTAGGATAGCACATGGGAAACTAATTGCTCTGAGAGTGCTGACTCCCTTATTGTAGTACCTGCAAACTAGTATTTCTGCATTCTGGAAAAATATTTTTTTAAACTGTTGCTAAATTGACTCTTTTTACTGGGATAACTAAGTTTTGATGGGAAAAGCACATGATTTATTAAAAAACTGACTTGTATTTTGTCTTAATGTTCTTTTTACTTAAAAATGCCAGTAGTAGTCACAGCTAATGAGATCTAGTAGCAAAATATTTTCATAAACCAGATTTTAATAGATATGATGATGTAACAATTTCATAAACATTCGGGCCCAGATTTTACTATGAAAAATATTTTCTATAATTTTTTCACCTTCTGTTTCATGAGGCATTTTATGACTTGCAATATTTGACTGCAATAGTAGAAGAAAACTGTTTAAAACATATCAAAACATCGTTTTAATTTAGATATTATTCTGCAGCATACTCATTGAAATTAGAAATGTAAAAATTAAAGTACCATTGATATTTTATCATGAACTGCTTGTAAATCACCCGGATTTTAAGCATCAAGTGTGAATAAGTGTCATTTTACAGTGCCGGGGCCATTAAGTTCATGTGGGAAATACAACAGTTTTGAGTTTGTTTTAAAACTTAAACATTTGAAATTATCAAAAGTTGGTATAATTGACTTTTTAAACTTCTAATGTTTGTTTAAAATGCATTGCCTTCTGAAACATTGTTTTGAAATAAATGGTTTTTTTTAAATTACTGTTTTCCCTGGAATTATAAGAAACAAAAAACCTCAAACATTTCAAGTGGGGTTAAGCTTTTGAAAAGTTTATTTTTACCAAGAGTGTATTTTGGGACAAATTTCTTAGAGTTTAACTTTGGTTTAAGATGGCTATTGACAAATAAAGCAGACTAATTCAGCACTTCCCTCTTTGATAAGCACTGAAAACCTTCAAATATTTGTTTGTTAGCCATAGCAGCTTTTACAAAAATCTAAGAATTTAGTTTCAAGAAATCAGTAAAAGCTCAAGTATCCTGAGGCCAACTCATTCACCTAGGCTGTGTCTACATTGGTGCGATCTTGCGCCAAAGGGGCTGCTTTAGCGCAGAAACATGCAGCCTGTCTACACTGGCGGGGAGTTCTTGCGCAAGAACACTGATGTTCTAATGTGTGAAATCAGTGCTTCTTGCGCAAGAACTATGATGCTCCCGCTCAGGAATAAGCCCTCTTGCGCAATTGTTCTTGTGCAAAAGGCCAGTGTACACAGCAACATGAGTTTCTTGCGCAAGAAAGCCCGATGGCTAAAATGGCCATCGGAGCTTTCTTACACAAGAGAGCGTCTACACTGGCACAGATGCTCTTGCGCAAAAGCACATCTCTTGCGCAAAGGCAGATAGATGCCAGTGTAGACTCTCTCTTGCGCATATACTCTAACGCAAAAACTCTTGTGTTAAAGAGTATTTGCGCAAAATCTTGCCAATGTAGACGTAGCCCCTGGCTATGTCTACACTTGTGGCTTCTTGTGTGAGAAATATGCAAATGAGGCTGTGTGGAATATTGCTGAGCCTCATTTGCATGCCTAATGAGCAGCCATTTTTGCAGAAGAGGCTCTTGCGCCAGAAGGAGCTGTCTACACTGCCCTTTCTGGCACAAGGAAAACCCTCTTGCGCAATGCCGTTATTCCTGAAAATAATCAGTGTAGTGGCATTGCGCAAGAGGGTTTTTTCTTGTGCAAGAAGGGGCAGTGTAGACAGCTCCTGGTGTAAGAGCCTCTTCTGCAAAAATGGTGGCTCAGGTATGCAAATGAAGCTCGGCGATATTCTACGCTTAGTCTAATTTGCATATTTATCGTGAAAGAAGCCGCGAGTGTAGACATAGCCCTACAGTTTTAGTCAAGTGGAAGAAGCTGTCACAAGAACCTGCTGGTTGGATTTACCTCACAGCATATTTGATCACATTGTTGAGGAAAGTGGCCTTTGTGTGTATCTAAAGTCCCCTGGTTCAACCAGCTTCATCATGTATCTATTTCTTCACTACCATGCTGTGATAATGCTTTGATGCAAAGAGGCAGCTGCAACCGCAGGGTGAAAAACTTGCTTGTTTATTTAAAATAAAGCTTGCCTCTTCCCAAGTGATATTTGGAAGCACTGTGATCCAAGTAGTACTGTGTTTTTAAAAATTGAACAGTCGAACATGATATGATTCATGTTTCATTCTGCTGTCTGTGCTGCAATCACTGTGCAGTAGATTTTACACTGAGTGATTATCTACATTAGGATTGCAACAGCACTTCTATGCATTTCACGTGAGCAAACAAAGTTCAGACTTACACATGACAGTCAAAGAAGGGGATGGTTCCGTGATTTGACAGTAACACCAACCCTTTCTTCTCCGGATTCATAGTTTGAGTGCAGGTCAAGTTGGGAATGGCTTTCCAACCAGATGTCACTAAAGGCTGTTCTGTAACCCCTATATAAAATAACTTTCAACTTTCTAGTAGACAAGTCTTCACATAATAAACAGCCATCTTCATTTGACATTCTTATTGGCAGCCCCAGGAGAGTCTGAAAGCTCTGCTCATTTCTGGAAGTTGTTCCCATATTAAGGCTGATGCACATTTGCTGGGGAGCAGGGCCTATATCGTGTGTCTATCCTAGAGGTTTTGGAGTTGATTTTCCACTTCAGCCAATTTGACACTTTTCAGCCACACAACATAGAAATTTGAGAGGAAATGATGATTTTCCAGAGCAAATGGAAAGAAACTATTCAAGTGTGATGTTTCTTCACATCCTCACTACTTTGATTATTAGAGCTTTGGGGCTGAGATCTTCAGTGCCGTTTACAGTGATGTCCTGAGGGTGGTGCCCTGGTCCTATAATACAAATAAGTGACAACGAATCAGGTTTCTGATTGTCCCATTTACTTCACAGTGGTTCATTCTGAGAATTATTGTACTTAATTTGTGTTTTATGAGAACCCAGACTATTAATGTTTACTGATGCTGCCTTGAGGAAATAAATGCCTTTTACTTCTTTTAAATTATTTGTATTATCTTAATGCGTAAGAGCCCGATTCATGGACTAGTTTTCAAACAGACCTCTCAGTAAAATACTCAATATGGAAAGCCGCGTGGTGCAGAATAAAAACTGGGCCAGCACCTGTTCCTGAGAGCGAGCAGCAGTGCAGATGTGGACAGATGGGACCGGTAGAGACTGCAAGTCCCAGGATGCACTGATGTTCGGAAGAGGCTGATTCCCGCAAGGCCTTAGCATGACTACATTTCCCAGCAGAACCCGGGCCAGCTCTGTCATAGGAGTGGGTGGGGGAAGATGGCGCATGGTCCTCTGGGAATTGCAGTCCTCAGACGACACTTTGCGGCCTGTCGCGATGCGTGGCGGTAGCGGCGTCCCCGGTTGGTTGCTGAGCTCAGCCGGGCGCCGGCTGCTGGCGGCAGTGGGAGCCGGGGCCCGGGGCGGAGCGGACATGGCGGCGGGCAGCATGGGGCAGCGCATGGTCTGGGTGGACCTGGAGGTGAGCGGGCGGGGGCGGGGTCTGCCTGAGGGGACAGGGTTGGGGGAGGG